AAAGACGCTTCCTGCAAATTTGCCCCCCCCAAGACAAAATCCTGGCTACGCCACTGCCCAACACACATCTGGTAAAAACTATGGAAGCTTGCCCCATTAAAAACTCTGCCACGACGGCGCCCCAGCTCCCCATCATTCACATCCGTGCTGGTAGGAAAGCATCTAATACTAACTGCACTGTGATCCGACAGCTCTGCCGGCACAACCAAACATTCAACACTGTCCAAATTTGTACAAATGTAGTCGATAATGGTCGCAGATGAACCAGATACACGAGTTGGCCTGTCAACATTCATGCTCAAGCCATATGACGTCAAAATGCATCCCAGCAACATAGTATCTCTTGATTCCTTATCGAGGAAGTTTATATTAAAATCACCTGCTAGTATTATTTTGGAGCCAGGCGGAATCCGCGAAAGCACTACATCCAATCCCTCCAGGAAATCCCCAACTCTGGCGGACGGAGACCTATAAATACAAAGAACGTATAGGGACCTTGGTTTACAGTAGCAAACGGAGAGTTCAAACGAAAACTCCCTCGTTAGATCACCAAACCCATCAACATTAACAAATCACTGCCCAGTGCTGGCAGATCCCCTGACGAAAATCAAGGAGCCACCATGTCATAAAATAAAAACTTTGAGGACGTCTGACCCCCTTTTTGTAACGAACTAGACGTCTGACGATTTACATACGTTATCTGTGACCTTCAAACAGATAATGTGCAAAATTTCTATAAATTTTGAGCTTTGAGAAAACAGTTTAGATGCTTGTATACAACTTTGCCCGCGTCCCAGAGCCAGCTGTCCCGGAACTGTGAGTGCTGACTGTACACTAGCATTCTAGCACTAAAGTACGACCTATTTTGAAAATATCCGCCTTGCGAAAACTCTTGCATGTTTTCGACGCCAGCTCCCCAACTATTTTATATCTCTGTGCTTATATTTTAGACTCCAGGGTTGAAGGTAAATTAGAAATTCGGTCAGAAATAGAACATTCTTCTTGAGAATTATATTGTTTAAACTTAGTCCTTTCTGATGAGCCGTCCCCCTGATCCAGATTCCTGGATAGCTTGTGGTTCTGCTCCATGTCCTTCCAACCATTGGTTAAGTTCACGATCATCATTTCCCCTCTCAAAATCCCATCCTTTAACAGTTGGCAATGGTTACTCCACGTCATGTATGAATAAAATCTGTGGTGTCCAGAGGTTTACAGATATGTTTTTAATTAATTCGATGAATTTCTCCCAAATTTTTGATAAAAAGACTTTTTTCTAATTTTGACATTTAAAGTGACACTTCTCAAAACTCGTTGACGTTATCAAATCATCACCAGTTACGAAAAGTATAATTTTTCGCAACTGGTGATGAAATTAGTACATTAAAATACAAGTTTCATAAGACGTCATTTTATCGCACGAGCCCTATATTAGAAAACGAGCCGGAGGCGAGTTTTCTAAAGGGCGAGTGCGATAAAATGTCTTATGAAACGAATATTTTATACTATTTTTTCTATTTTGGTATTGTTTAATTAAAAAAAAAAACACTTCTCTTGGAAATTTTATTCTCATATTTCCTGATTTCATATGTTTAGGTTGGCAACACTACATGCCAATTATAGAAATCTTCTAATATTTTTTATCGCGAATGACAGTTCGATGGCCATCAGTCAGCCAGTGTTACCAACCTCCGAGAAGTAAAAAAGGAGTGTCACAAAGAGCTTCTTTTCGAAACTACTTTTAGTGTCGAAAAGACTTCGATATGACACCAAAATAGAAAATAGTACATTAAAATACAAGTTTCATAAGACGTCATTTTATCGCACGAGCCCTATATTAGAAAACGAGCCGGAGGCGAGTTTTCTAAAGGGCGAAAAGTGCTGAAAAGTTACTTTTCCGCACGATTTTTTTATTGCTAAAAATGAAGATATTTAGGATCAAATAAATGATTTATGTTATATATTATTTTATATTATGTGCTATTTTGTACCATCATTATAAAATCTTTGCGTGTTGGAAAAATTTGAGGAGGTTGCCTAGCGTGCGAAAAACTCCATTTTCAGAGGCAGTCGTAGGAAATAGTTATTTTCCTAACAAGTGCGCAAAGTGTTACTTTTCCGCACGCAAACACAGTTATACGAACGACGCGAAGCGGAGTTCGGATACGTGTTTGCGTGCGGAAAAGACACTTTGCGCACGTGTTAGGAACAAAATTTTTCCTACGAGCTTCATATCAGGTAGGTAACAACAAAAATTTAAAAAAAAAACGATAATTTGTTTAATTATTTTTAATTAACTTGAAGGGAACCTATGCATTTATCAAAAAATTACATAACAAAAAAAAAATATAACAGAAAATCATCGTTAGAGCTCTTCATCTTAAAGCGTTTAATGGCGATTTCCATTTGTCATCAGTGCCGCACTGAGTGCATCCGCATCTTTTTCTAAAAGCATGTAACATGTAAGGATAAGGATACATTTTTTTGCCCTGTTTCGACAAATGGAAAATGCTATAAATTTGATGAGATAGTTTGTAGATGCATATATATATAGAAAACAAATCTGACAATGTGTTGAAGTTAATTAAATTTGGTGTTTGTAGGTATAGATGTTAGCTGGAACAGGAACAGAGGAAAAATTTGTCATCATGTGTCAAAGTCGACAGGTGTACTTATTGTTGCTTGACAATTATTTTTACTTTTCGGCACTCAGTGCGGATAAGGCCTGTATCCGCACTGAGTGCGGAAAAGTGCAACTTTGAGAACCGAAATGCGTGCGGAAAAGTACTACTTTGCGCACGCTCGTAGGAAAAGTAAATTTCACCATTAGTTGCAAAAAATACAGGAACCAAATCTGTGATATTTTTGGGGTTGAACTACTCCAAGTACTTTGTTTTATTATATTCTTTGTACCATCGTCACCAAAAGTAACTGGGACAGCATCACATTAGCTCTTGTCCTATTATATGAATTTTATTGTCAAATATTTGCCAAACTATGAATTAAATTCATTGAAATGAATGACAGTAGAATTAGTCCAGGAGATTATTATGCATTTTTTGTGTCCCAGATACTTTTGGTGACGATGGTACGTACATGTCCTGAAGATCTAATTTTATTCAAATTAGTAACATAATATGACAATGTATGGAATAGCTTTTTACCTAACAAGTGCGGAAAAATATTTTCCGCAAGTGTTAGGTACAATATTTTTCCTACAGGCGTAAAAATGTAAAATTTTTCTTTTTTTTTTGACATATCAGTGCGGTAAAATTTTTTCCGCACTGACAGCCGTGCGGAAAAACTTTTTCCGCACTGATATGTCAAAAGTTTTACCGCACCGTGCGGGAAAACTCATTTTCCGCACGCATATCAGTGCGGAAAATCGATTTTTCCGCACGGCTGTAGGAAAAAAAACTAATAAGTTATAAATATTAATACTTAACACAATTTTAACAATTATTGATGATATTGAGAACATAGTTTTCTGAATAGCATTAATTAAATGAAAAAATTGAATGTTTTTTCCCATGGAAGTCTCTCCAAAGACGTTAGTGACAATTGCCTGTTTATTATAGTTATGGAATTCTCCACATAGCCTTCAGCGGCTGTATTAGATTTCCACTTCCATGCTATTTAATTATCCGCAAATCAGCCACAGAATCTACAAGCAGAGAAGGTAGTCGATGATCGCCAAAAGCAATGACTGGTTGGAGTCGTCAAACTTGAACAATATTGGCTTCTATAGCAACGGAAAAGGAAACATCTCTGAACTTACTTGACGATTTAGAAATAATTATAGAAGAGACATTTTACATGTTTTCGTCTCGAATTTGTATTATGGATCAGATCATAATATACAAAATTAGAAAAAATATTGTGTGAAACACGTTATTGGGAAACACTATTTTTCGTAACTCGCTTCCTTTTGCGGAACTCGCTTCGCTCGTTCCGCAGAAATCTGCTCGTTACGAAAAAAAGTGCTTTTCCCAACTGGTTGCACAAATAACTATTCTTGCAATGACATTTTCGGAAATTTATCATTCCTTGATCCATTGGCTGAAGTTTTGGACTCATTTTCAAATTTTTCTGATGTCATGCAAATTACTCGGTTGTTTGTTTTGTTCTTTATTAATTACGTGAAGAATTGTCTCGACAAAAACAGCGTTCAGCAACTATGGGGAACATAACCAAACTACATAAGAAGGTAATATTCAATAAAGTTAGGTATCTCGGGCGGATCCATAGGAAAAAGTTTATTATGAAAGGAAACAATAATTATTATATCAGTTAAAATATGATTGCAGAAATGTATGATTTGTCATGCAAGGGAAAACGTCCGGTTTAAGGTTCGAAGGGTACTATTTATACTGCACGGAACGAATTTATTTCAGAACGTAATCAACTGTTCACATAATAAAATTATATATCGCATCGCAATAAGTTTGAAAAAATAATTGTTCATAATACCTTTGTTTGAAGAAGACGAAAGAGGAATAAACTCATCAACAGATGATCTATTTGAAAGGATTTGTTAGTCTCTTGACGATGATCTTTTCCAATTCGGCTGCTGCGATCCTTCTGGTGGGCCTAGTAGTATGAGATATATGTCAGGGACTCTACTCTATTTCACTATTTTTTTTTAAATGAATATGTATCACTTCGGCAACTAATTGCCATATTAAATCATTTAGCCAAATATGACGTATAGAAAATAATAATGCTTTGACAAGCTTTACATTTTTAATATGTTATGATCTAATATAAGTAGTATTATTTTCAGTCAAATAACACTAATTTTGTGTGCTATTTCTAATAACCTCTGTTTAAACAATTTCGTAATATGAACATCACTTCAGTTAACACATACTGATGCCTGTATTTACCTTTCCTATTACGTTTCCCATATACACAATTAAATTTTATGCTTCAAAAAAATAAAATGAAATACCTATTGAAAATATGTTCCAATAAATTTACTTTTATTTTTCAATCTTTTTCAGACATTCCCGAGATTCCCGAAGGCATTGGGCAACTTCACGCCCTCAGGGTGGCAGATTTTAGTTCAAATCCCATCGCCAGACTGCCGCCAGCCTTTTCGCAGCTAAAGTCCCTTACAACTTTGGGACTGAATGACATGTCATTGACTAGCTTACCAACTGATTTTGGTCATTTGGTATCACTTATTTCTCTAGAACTTCGCGAAAACCTGCTCAAAGAATTGCCTGCTTCGTTTAGTCAGCTTGTTAATTTGGAACGGTTGGATTTGGGCGATAATGAAATCGACGAATTGGTAGGGATATTATATGAAATTCAGCTTCAATTTCACTTCAATATTTTCGTTTTAGCCTCCTCACATAGGAAAACTTCCGGCCCTTCAAGAACTATGGCTAGACCATAATCAGCTCCAATCCCTACCACCCGAAATTGGTCAGTTGCACAATCTGAGCTGTCTGGATTTGAGTGAAAACAGGCTTGAATTTTTACCTGAAGATATAGCCGGTCTTGAAAGTTTAACTGATCTACACTTATCTCAAAACGTTCTTGAAACTTTACCCGATGGAATAGGCAAATTGGAAAAGCTCACTATTCTTAAGGTAAGGTAATGAGAAGCTGTTATATTTCTTCTTATTTTCATCATAGAATTAATTATCAGTAATTTGTATTTAATAATTTTAGGTTGACCAAAATAGACTTACTTCATTAAATTCAAACATCGGCTGCTGTCACAATTTACAAGAACTAATCTTAACTGAAAATTTTCTTTCCGAATTGCCTCTTGAAATAGGCAAACTGGTTAAGTTGACCAACTTAAATGTAGATAGGAATAGTTTGACAAGTATACCTGAAGAAATAGGTAAGTTTTGCATTAAAAAAATATTGCTAAAAGATATAAATTTATTCAATTATTTTTTAGGTAATTTATGTGAATTAGGTGTTTTAAGTTTGAGAGACAATAGACTGACATTGTTGCCCGATACATTGGGCGACTGTAAAAGATTACATGTTTTAGATGTATCTGGCAATAGACTACCCCATTTGCCGTACACACTATTACAGCTTAGACTAAAGGTTTGTTAGATTGTTTTATTTCAATGAAAAATGGATTTCTTATGTTTTAATTTGCAGGCTGTTTGGTTAAGTGACAACCAAGCCCAACCTTTACTTACCTTTCAGACTGACACGGATTCGGATACTGGGAAAACAGTGCTTACATGTTTCCTTTTACCGCAACAGGAATATCAACCTACCATAAGTAAGTGTTGTGTTGTTTGTGGTACAAATTGTATAGTTGTATACCATAGAATCTTTGCATCAAATTATTTTTAAAATTTCCTACACAAAAAAAGCTTTCTTCTAAAATGTATTATATCGAGGGGAAAACCACCTGAGAAGGAAATTCAAATTTTAAAACAAGCGATATAAGGCCTTGTTGATTTTTCTAATTCATGAATCGTTAATGATATCCAAGAAAAAGTCTGGAGAAATTCAAGGAAGTATGAGGAATTATGTACGAAATCAGAATAAGTCAAAGAAAATTTGAAAGATGTACGGGAAATATTTGTCATATATTCGAGGACGTTTCTATGCACAATTTGGTAGGTGGTTTTTTCCTTGTATTATATACACAAACACGGCATTTTCATTTTTCTTGATTGAGTGGTAAAAGCACACGTTCTAGGATTCCAATGCAATTATGTTTGATGTGAAGTGATAATTGTCAATTTTTTGTTATGTAACTTGTAAAGTTGGTCAACTATAGGAAGAGACGCGAATATTTGCATTATTTCTATCTGTTTCTGTCTTGTGAGCACAAATCCGCTTGTCTCCTCTTATAGTTGGGTTAACAGGATGTATATTTATTATTTGGACATTATTTTATTCTGAGCGTTGCCTTGCTTTATTTGTGCTTTCTTAAATGTATGCTTCAATGCTGGTCATACTTAGATAAACGTCTTTGTTAAAGTTTTTGATAAGGAGCAATGAACTTGTTCCAAATGACAAAAAAAAAACCTTCAAAGATAATTCCTGTTTGTTGGAACCAAAGGTGGACTACCTATCGAAAAAAAAGTAGCTAACTACAAGCTTCCGACTAGTGCTGATTAGTGATTCTTATCCCATTGATTTTCAGTGAGTTAGGAGCTATATCTCCCTCTGTTTTGTTTTTCTTATTCTACTGTTTTCTAGATAAAAACAAGCCTATAGGCTTCTTTTTGAATATTCAAAGGGATTGTAAAGTTTAACAATAAGAAACCAGTAATCAGTTAGAAATGACTACCAATAACTTTTCGTTTGAAGCCAGTATAGAAAAGTAAAGGAACCCAATTCAACAAATAAGTTAGTAAGGGCAATAATAGCTCTGGGAATACATGAATGACAAGCATGACTACACTATTTCCAACAGTATTTTAGAAAGCTCCAATTGTATTTTAGAATAGTCATTTGCATTTAAGAAATTTAAACCATTATTCATATGAGGGATTTCTTAAATACAAATGACTATTCTAAAATACTGTTGGAAATGGTGTAGTTCTATGGAACACATAGATCAACGCAAGACATCAAGTGAGGAGAATCAATAATGTTGTTGACTCTTTTGGATCTTTATTTAAAGATAACAAGGATGAGAGAGCACATGCCCGCATAGTCGCCCATCGCAGCATTACCACACCTAATTTGCCTAAGAAGCCTTCTGTATACCTGTTCGATTCTATGTATATAATGAGGAAATACACATGAAGCATATTCAAGATGATTTCTCACCAAAGCACAGTAAAGTAGTTCAAGATAATTTATGCTAGAAAACTCTCCCGTATGACGCTTTATGGACCCAAGCATTCACAATGATTTACTGACAATACAAGAATGTGGAGCCAAGGAAAAAGATCAGTCCGAGGTTCAACGAAGGTCTCTAAACGTATCGACCACTAAAAGAGGCTGGCCATCCATCATGTATTCAAAGTTCTAAGAGGATCGCAATCTGGAAAACCTGATATATTTACTCTTTAGGATTTTATTGCCGTTCATACTACACCAAGAGGCAAATCTGTCAAGGACATCCTGAAGATCCTAACAAGCCAAAACATCATTAATAATAAACATTTTAAAGAGAATAGGTAGTCCATTGCACATCTGAAGTCTTGATGTGAGAACTCGGACCACTTTGCGGCGATTTCTCATGTGTTTCGTGATCCAGCTCAATATAGGGCAGCTACTCGATAATAGTGAACGATCCATCCTTGGTAAACTCGATGTAGTGGCCTTCAGATTCCTCCCTCCAAGTCCTCGTATAAAGGATGCTTGTACACTTCAGTGCGACTTGCAAAGAATTCGAACTTTGATCAACGATGACTTGAATATAGTAAGAAAAGGATGGTCAGCCTTTCAGACATTTGGTATAGTGCTTAATATGCTGATAGTAACCATCAGCATATCAAGTAAGTATTTATAAGCCGATAACTTTGAATGTGGGCTCTGTCATCAGACTTGATAGAAACAGGAAAAATTGTACTCCAAAATTTGGGAGAAACACCTTACTCAAGGGACTTATTGAAGATAAACTGGAGAGGTCTAGCTAAAATGAAGGCGTAGTCTGTAAGCAGAATCGGATGGATGCCATGTGGATCAGGAAGACCCTTATAGGCGCCAACTATGAATAGAATAGGAATAGACCCCAGATTTTGGTTAGTTTGGGGTATTTTATGGCACTTCAGTTACTGGTTGAGAGTTTTATGTGGGGTTCGGCCGCCTCGAAAGAATATAATTTACTTAGGTTATTTGCAAGACCCATGGAAGTCCGCGCCTCCCCCAAAAAAAGATAAATCATTGACACCTGCAATTCACAAGACTCTGAAAGCTTTTCAGGTTCTTATCAAGACCAATTGTTTGATAAATCTTGATAAGATTTTTTATTTTTGAAAACCCACAGATGAAAACTAATGTTTCTAGGGAGTAACTAATTACACATTAGAAGTACCTTACATCAGCAGATGGGATTAGGGGGATGTTTAGATTTTTAACTTAACTATACTGGGTGATTTATTGTGCTTCCTCTAAACTAAATTTCTAAATTAAGGTGTGTAATGTAGCCTGTGATTTTCCATGGTGCCATTTTACCAATGTCCGCTGATGAGCAACCGTCTCTTTGTGAAGAAGTCTTGAGAAGACCATTTAAAAGCCTGAAGGCAGCATATGTCTCAAAAATTTGTGCTGCCACACTGCAGAATCATATTCCAAACAGTGTACAGTTGAAATTAGTTACCGAACCTTCTTTTCAGGAAACTTGTGTTCTAAATAGGTTTTCTAGAAAGATATTTTGAATGGTCAATCGTCATTTCATTTTTATTACACCCAATATGCAAGGCATTTAAGTCAGACCGCAAAAGCTCACAAACGTGACTACTTAGAACTGTGAGAGAGATTTTATGTCAACGTTAAAAATATGATGAAAAGTAATGATCCAATTGAGACATTTGTGGAGAGTGATTTATTATGATATTCTTAACTGTATGAATCTGGGTACCACCTGGCATTGTGATAGTTAGCTCTAAAACCACTTCAGCCACCGACGTAGCTATAGCTTTTACATGGGGGGGGGGGTTTTATAGCAGTGGCGGCTCGTGGTCTATGCTGGAAAGGGTTTCAATTTTAGGCTTAGACCAGACGATGCATATAGCCATATAACCTGGCATAGCCGCCGGAGGATATCGCCGAAGGCGGAAAATTTTTTTGGGTTCCACGCTCAAAAACGTTTATTTTTCTTACAAAAAAAAAATTATTCAGTTCAATGGGGGGGGGGGGGGTTTGAACCCCCAAAACCCCCCCCTTAAATACGTCCTTGACTTCAGCAAGTTAGCTTTCCCAACTTAGACAGCTAAGTATTGATATTTTCAAAAGCAGTGTGGATGAAATTTACCCCTGCACCACAGAAAGTTAACATGGAGACTGAACCTAATTTATCTGAAACGTGGTTTAATATAGTTAATAACTATATTTTCAAAAAACGAAAGCCTATAATAGTATCCAAACTCGGATTTTTGACTGGACACTTGAGGTGCAACATGCTAAGCTGTTTGTGTATTTTTTCTTGAATATGCCCATAATATATTATCATGGTTAACCTTTCAATTTTTTCAATAGGCACCAAATTTTGACAGTAAAGGTGTGTGCCTTCTAGTTATCATTCTTTTAAATTGTATTTATTTATATTTTCCTTTTTGCTTTTGTGCGTCTTTGCATTTGTGCACCCCCTATGTGTTTTCTTTCTATGTGCACCCATTGCTGTTGCTGTTGTTGTTTCTTCCTCGCTTCCACGCACTTACGCAGCTTCCGATGGCCGTTTGTATCGTTGCGATATGAACACCGGTTTGAGTAATGGCACTTTGTCCCGAATCACAGCATCCGGCGCCAAGGACGACGTTTCGGACGATTGGCAGGAGCACGAAGCCAGCAGGACGCATAGCGTGAAATTCAGCGATCCTCAGGACCAGGAGAATAAAGAGGTGAGTGGCTTAGAGCTTTATTTTATGTATAAAAAAGCAAACAACAAAGCCGTTTGTTAATAGGTATTCAATATGTGCTCCTACATTTGGCGAAATAATTGAGTAAATAGTCAAATATAGTCACATGATTTTATGTAGCTTTACACTATTAACATAGTTAAACTAACCATAATCGAATTAATTCGGCATAATAAATAACAAAAGCTTTAAAAATAATTAATAGAAGTGAATCTAAAACTGTGTGAAAGCCCCCTAGCTTGTAGGTATTTTTGTTTTTTTTTTTTTCGAAACAACCCAATTATACTAAAATCACAAAAAAAAAACCTGTATGAAACTTAATTGTTTTAGGTTAGCTATTATACACTTTCGACTTCCACAACCTCGATATTATACGTCACCCCACTCGAGTGGCTCTTGACAATGTACGACAGGGTCAAAGAGACGTTTGAGGGTTGGTGCTGCTCTGCTCGCAGGTCGAGCCCGCTAAGCAGAACAAATAGTTATTATAGTTTAAATACTTTGAAAGATATTGATGACGTCTTTATTAATGATGTCTGATTTAGTTTCCAATGAATTGAGGTTATTGAAATCTTTAAGAACTTCTTGGCTTTTTTCAAGTTGTAGCACTCAAAGTAGATAGACATATTTTGGCTTTATTTTTACTTTGTCTAGGTAGTATTATAGTGAAGAATAACAGTTCCCACTGTATCTACAGCTAATAATAAATTCAACAAATATCTACACTTGATCTTCAAATTAATTTGCTAGACCTTGAACGATGGTACTTTATATTGGCTTAATATACAGTGCAAATGTAGTTTGAAATTAAATCAGCCAGGATCAAATACTGGACACTATAAAAAACATCAATAAAGGCCAAACGAATCAATCTTGCTGAATTTTCATGTTGGTACTGGATCCAGCGGAATCTTAGCTTGGTGTATATCTAGGCTCCTTTGCATTCCAAAAATGATTGAATATACAATATTGAAAATTGATGGCAACAGCGAGTATAAAACCCTATAAACTGAGACAAAGGACAATTTTCTACATGAAAATTATGGGAAAATATGTCTATTATTAATAAATTTGTATGAAGAGGGGATAATAAATTGAAAATATTGATCAGATATCAAAAATATGTTGTGATAGTACATTTTTTCTATATAAACCCAAACATTGGTTATAGATTTCACCTCAATTGAATGGAACTAACTTGCTTCTTGTTTATTTATTTCTCAAGCTTCTTGCTAAAATTTAACAATAGGGTTTAAAATTGAAAAATATGCCAGTTGATAGCAAACTGACACACCCTTAAAAAATGTCGATTTTGAATCTGTTGTATGAGACATAATTCAACAAAAAAATAATTTGTTAATCCAAGTAAAAGATTGTCCAAATATGTTTCATGTAACATATTAATAACAAATTGATGAAGTTTTATCATTAGGCATGGGCAATTTCAAGTTTTAAATTGATTTTTTTGTATACACTTTGATTCAGATATTCAGATCAAAGAAGTAAATTTTTTAGTCATTAAAAAATTTCTAATTGTTTCACCTTTCTAATAAACAGACTGATTATCTTCCAAAATGTAGGTCTGGTCAACATTTTCCAAACGGGGCTGCTCTTCCAGTTCTCTTTCTAAAAGCACCGGTTCAACTTCTTTGCATAATAAATAGGTTTCAATTTTCAGAAATACGTCTTGAGATGGAATAAGGACATATATTTTTATTTAAAGATTTGAAGTGATAAATATACTAATTATTTCCACAAATTAGTTGATCGAAATAAAATAATTGTCATAATGTCTTATCAAAAACTATGACATTAACTAGGGAAGGCAAGGGAAGGGAAGCAAGTCCTAATTTATACCCTAATATTATAATGGTAACAGATTCTTGTTTGCTTTGCTTAGCACTATAACAACGTCAACTCTGTGATTATAGACAGAACTTCAACTAACTATCTAGTTTACAACTGACTGGCCAAAATGTGGCCGACTCCTTTCGATCTTCCTCCAATTTTCTGGATGATTCCCTTCTAGGAATTCCGAATATACCAATACTACATGGTTCACAACAATAAATGCGTTTGCTATTTTCAGCTTTAGGGGGTTGAGACCTGCAATTCTGGCCGAGTCTAGAGCTGTTGACCGCCATTATAGGAAGAGCAAATCAGTTTGTTAACCCTTCAAAAATAAATTAAAATTGTGCATAATAATATAGATAGAGATAATCATTGACTAAAAAATTTACTCCTTTCCTTAGTGGAAATTTGAATATTCTATTTGAATATTTTAACCCAAATCTAGGTAAACTTTAAAATTAATTTCTGGGTAAAGTATTTTAGAAAAGTTAACCCCAGGTCCAAAAAAATTGAAAAAAAAAAATCATTTCTTATCTACAAATATCATTATTAAAATTTTTATAAGACTGAGCTCAGTATAGAGCGAAGCGGGCCTTCCAAAAAAAAAAGTGACAGCTATTTGTCATACCATAATCAGTATTTTTCCTAAAAAATGTGCTTACAGATTTATCAGATATACGATAATACAAATAAACAAAAATATTTCTGCTTTTTAAGTACCTATACAATACGTAGAGTTAGGGCAGTCAAATGCACAATATTTGCCTAAAAGAACAGAATTACAAGCAATTGTTAATAATTATTGTTTATTGTTTATATATTTTTATTAGTTGTTATGCTTCCATGTAAATTTTAGGTTTTTTTTTAGGCAAATAATTGCCATATATAAGTGTACCTAACCAAACATTTTTTGTTGGAAATGTATACTGTAAATATTCAATTTATTTATTACATGCATGTTCATTTTATGGTTGTGGTTATTGTTATTTACATTGTAATAATTTGTAACATTTATTTTAAAAAAAAACTGCTACTATCACTATTTTACTAATAATGTATTTTTTAGAGTATGTGTGGTAAACAAATACCTCTGTTAATTAGTATTATTTTAAAATTCTTTAAATCGAATATGTATTATTTAAGTTACATTATGTAGATCTAACCCAAAAACTAACATTTTTTGTATATTTTTTAATAAATTATTTATTTGCATGGCTGTTTTCTTTTCTATATGGTGTTAGAATTTATACTTGCTTTTTTCGACTATCAAGAATATTTATGCATGGACTCAATATATAAATGAAATTCTCAAAAGAAAAAGCAAGTATTTTCAATATTTCACATCCTTGGTGTTATAGCACATTGGTGTTAAGATGGTGGTAGTATATTTCCAACAAAATGTGCATTTTGGTTATGGTAACTCATAAGGAATTAATAAAATTTTAAATTCAATTATTGTAGTTTTTTGGTATCAGTTCATATTTTCGAAGTTGAGTTAGGTACCCTTTAAAAAGTCAATAAGGTGAACTAGGGACTGCGAGAACTACCTGCAGATGAACAATAATAGCCGTATTTTTTTAAAATTCCACAGTGCTTCTTCTGCTGGCAAAATTACTAGCAAAATTCGCACTGCTAAAACAAAGGTTATAGACCAGGATTTGCAGTCTTGCTTCTACAAACAGATGATAATATGGTTTGTTTAGAAAGTATGTTCCAAGAACAATGATTTTCCGTCAAAAAATATTAAAAACTGTTACGTGAGTCTCATAGACCAAGATAGTTTTAGTTCGACTCCTTAGGTCTTCAATGTTCAGTTACTCACGGTAGGTATTTCCTGCAGTTCTAGAACAGCCTATGACTTCTGAAACCTTTAACGCCACTGTATAATCAAATTCATCTAGAGAGATATTAAACAAATTTATCGAGCGAAAGTTCAGACTTAAAACTACATATTATTTACAGATTTAATTGATTTTTTTAATTGTTGAACAAGTTTATATCTTAAATAAGTGCTGCACCAGTGAGATTCAAATTTCAACACCTCAAACCTCTTATGACCCTTTCATTATAAAAGATACAAAAAATAACTAAGCCGTGTTTCATTGTTTTATATGTCAAATATTTTTATAACGGCAAACTTTGATTAAAAATCATTAGCAAACTCAACATCAATTTTCCTTAAACTTAATCAAGAGGTCCACATTTTGGGGAGTTCATACTCTGTGTACCATTTTCAAGCTAAAATTGTCTGTAGTAGGAGAGAATTACACATCATCATTCCTATGCCTATTGTAGTAGTGGATTAATTATTGTTCTCCTAAATAGTACAGAACTTGTAGGTATTATAGATGTCCTAACTATTCTTGATAAGAGAATTTCTGCAATAGTTCATATGAGGATCATACAATATTTATTTAAATAAAGCACTAAAAGGTTTCTTGTTTTTGAAGTAAATACCTATATGGAAGGTTACTAAGTTAAGCAAGACTGAATTAATTCCATTACTTCAGCATTTAGGATATATAACAAATATGTTCCAGCTTTTTTGTAAAACCTACCCACCAAGTAACTGGTAGGTATCTCAATAATTTATTCTCAACTCTTTCGATATGCTTATAATTCACATAATACGGATTCCAGACACTATTCCAAATTATTTCTTACATGACAGAATAGGTACAATGTTTTGACTCAGTTAAGATTGATATACAGTGTCATTACTTAAGTGTGCAACATATGGGATTTTTTTTTTAGTAATAGCACAATCAAAATACAAACAAGGCCAAAAGTTGGTGCATGTCTGATAATCATATTAGGTTCGTTCCAACCCCTCGTTTTCGTATCGTCATGAAACGGTTTCGGAACTGTTAGGATCGATTGCAGGCGCATGCGTTGACCTTGCACGGTTTTATCTTGATACAGAAACAACGGGTAGTTGGAACGGTTTCATGACCGTTTTCGTAATCACGTTTGACAGTTCAAATAACTTGAACCCTAAATTTGTTTGTTTGCAAATTAAAATAGAAGAATATACGATTACAAAATAATATATAAAAAAGGAAAATCGAACACCAACGCTGATGCATTATCAAGAATCTGAAACTGAATCCTTGCAAGCTGATAACATCAAGGAACAGCAAATAGCTAAATGTTGTACTTTGTTTCACTTGAAAAAATAAAAATGCTACAGTTGCTATAGGTTAGATTGGAAATTGGTTTTTTAACATTTAACAACAACATGAAAAACAACAACAGGTGACAAAAATTGAATTACGCATGTCAGTCATGGATCAGTCCACGCGGTTCTTCCTTTCCACTCGGGATCGAAATGACGGTGCTAAAACCAGTTCTCTAACGATCCCAGGTTTGGTTGGAACGCCAACGAAACTGTACGGTAAACGATCGTCTCTCGGTTGGAACGCATTTAACCTATGGCGCATGACCATGACCGTACATTGAACGGTTTTTGGCTGGGTTGGAACGAACCTATTAGGTGCACTTAGAATGGTTGCAAGTCAAACAGCATACAGGGTGGCTCAAAAAATATTAAAATTCTACTAATACTTACTTAAATAAAATAAACTTTTGGCAGTTTGAGGAGAGTTTTTTTAATATGGCTATTATCATTAGTAATGTTTTAACTTGTTAAAAAAAAAATTTGCAACATTTTAAAGTTGTGTTGAATATCATTGCAACAAACATGAATTTTCTGATTCCATAAAAAATTAAAAATCTTAGTTAATTTTACAAATATGCTTGAATTTGAACAAAGTTATGTAAAATTGATTTGATTTTAATTAATTTTTGAAAGTATTAAGGACGGAAATAAAAAATAAAAAAAATATAGAAATTATAGATTTTTTTCGAAAGAAAATAAAAAAAATCTTAGGAGGCTATGTTTTGGTATTTAGGCATAACTTTTAATTCCAAACAACTTTTCTCTATAACATTTTCCTGAATTTTCTGAAATTAGGGTACTTTACAGTACAGCTTTGATATTGTTTGAGCTACCCTGTATGCTGTTTGACTTGCAACCATTCTAAGTGCACCTAATATGATTATCAGACATGCACCAACTTTTGGCCTTGTTTGTATTTGGGTTGTGCTATTACTAAAAAAAATCCCCATATGTTGCACACTTAAAAAATCACACTGTATAGATACATATTTTGTAGTCTCTATTAGTCATTTTTGGTTGAAATGTTTATTCTGAATCAAAATACATTCCCAAAAAAGTTTGCTGTTTTAAAAGTATTAATTTTTTTTGACAAAACTTATGAAACCAAGATCGAAAAAAAAACCCTAACCACATACCCACTTATCAAAATTGATAAGCCCGAATGAGTCATTGAAATATACACAACAGGCCATTATTGTATTATAGTGCCACAAAGTTAACTAGAAAATAAACATGAGTTGGTTCAGCATGGTAGGTATTATTTTTGTCTTACTTTATTCAATTAAATTAAATAAATACATAAAAAGGTTATCCTGTTATTTTTATTTAGACGCCATTTGTACGCCAAAATACTCCACACCCTCGAGAACTTAAAGCCAAAGCCCATAAACTATTTGGCAAAGGTGGAAGTCACGGTCAGACATCTTTTGAAGATTCTGATAACCATCCCGACGGATTTGTTAATGCTATTCCTAACGAACCAGGTAAATAAATATTTAAAGATTACTTTTAGTATAGACTAATAAATTTGAATAACTTTGTTTCAGTAGAAAAAAATACTCCAGCCTTTGAAGCAATCAATACACATATTGTCCATCCAGAACACCCAGCAGTACTCAGGACAGCAACTCCACCTGCAATACTTGCTGCAAATGTTAAAACTGAAGAGTATCCTACTGCTGATGTTGTAGGAAACGGTCAAGAAGACAGTGAACCTAGTCAGGATGAAGAACTTGACGAGGTAGGTCTAAATTTGTATAAATTAGCTGAGCGAGGGATTTAATTTAACATAATGTTTTCCTATACCATAAAGACTGTTCGCCGCAAGGAAACAAAATATTTTCTCCTAATTATCGAACTGATAATGAGCCCTCGTGTTCTCTTTCTGCAGCGAAAGATATCCTGCGGCTAAATAGCCAACATCCAACATCTTCTAACAGTACTTACCATAGACTTGTCGATTTTTCCGTCAAGTACTTCAATTTCACATTCCTCATCCTTTACAATGGGAGATTGGGCGGATAAGTCGCTATAAAACGAAGAAATACAAAAAGATGGATTGTGTTTCCTGGACGCCTACTCTACTGCCACAATTTATTTATCGGCTAGGGGCCCGATGAGTTAAAAGATTGAAACGCCTTCACTCGCCCCAAGCGTTTGGCAGGTTGTTCGGTTTTTGAAATATGGCGCATGAAAAAGCGATTTGAATATTATTTTGCATAATTATCTTGGAATATTTTTATTGATGAAATTGTGGTCAAGAAGTATTTCACTGAGATGCCACCAACTGAGAACAAGTAATATTGTGTTTTGATAGAAACAATTTTCAACAAGCCGTTATTTGCATTTTAATTCTAGTAACAATACTGACTACTTTTCCTCGGGCTAAATAAAAGACATGGTATATGATTATCAACTCATTTTCTCATCTTAATAGCAATAAAATAGTTAAAAGTAATCAATTAACTCTCTTCGCCCTAAGCTTTATTCTATGAGAATCATTAACCTTCTCCTTCAAGAGGTTTGAATACTCAAATAATAGAATTTTTTTAAATATATAATTTTTTTTCTTGTTGGCATAAGTTGACTGTGTGCCCATAGTTTCTGTATGTTTGGAGCCTGCTTTACTCGTTGCACTTCTCTGCGCCAATTTAATTTCGTGATACTGCCTTCCTCATCCCAATCTGACCATTTATCTTTGTGATAAGCCCTGCATCATAACCTCTGGTTCGGCGCCACGTTAGATTCGATCTACGATATACCATTCTTCTTTTGAGAATTATAATGCCATATGGTTATTTTTCTGGAAACCTAATTGTCTTGGATGTCAAGCAGCCTTTTCAGCAGAGTCTTCGGCTTCGATGTCGGCGAAATTTGGTGACCCGAACACCAAGTCACATGGTGAACGAAGCTTTCTTCGTAGAGCTGACGTATCGGAAATAGAGGCATATGCTCGTCCTGATGCTTGTTAACTACCTAATCCCCTCAACTATGCCATCTGATTGTGAATGCAAGGCTGGGGTTCTGGTCTTGGACTTCACAAAGTTTGTGGAATAATCGTGACTTAGAATTGCACCCTTGATCTGAATGCAATTTCAATGTGATTCCAAACCTAGTGAGAACATTATTGGGTTTGGAATAATGAAAAATGCAGGCTGATATAGTCCATGGCAACCAGGAAGTATTTTTTGCTACTGCGCATCGCAGGAAATGGACAAGCTATGTCTTTTGCAGATTGTCCGTACCATACGCGTTCCATTGATGACACAGCGTCAGCGGGAAATTTTGTGCCACGCTTGTTGTCATCATCTTTTAATTGGTCACTTTTAAGAGGTGAAAAGTTCCAACTTCCTGAAGAACTTTTCCCGAGTTTGTCTTGTTCCTAGGAGATTACAGGTTGAATCCATCCTCACTGAAATTTAAAATTGCTCTGAAGCCGTTACTGGGTTTTCATTCTGACTTCGGGCTTCCTTCTTGTTTTTTTTTTTTATCTCTATTGTTGTCTATCAACATTTGATTAACTTGCTTCTTATTGACTATGCTGGAAAATACTCTGTGAATGTCAAAACCAGTAACGAAGTCATTATTCCTGTGTCAACTTTGGTTTTCAAATAGAACCCTATATAACAAAGTTTGTGAGGCTTTCGGGGCCCAGGTTTATTGATAAAATGTTTTCATTCAGGCTTAATGGCTGTCGTGAGTTGGAATTTCTTCCTGACGTTTCGCTAGCACGCGTGGCTAGCATCTTCAGAGGTGCTTTCCTGTCCGATTCTGGTAGCAGACTGACGCGTTTCCGACTCAGCGCTTGACAGTGGGTTCCTCTTATCCTTGGTTGATCTGATTGATTGCTGTATTTTCCTTGTTGGCTTGAAGATCGTTTTTATGTTGTGTTTCTTCAAGACTTTCCATATCCTGTCTGTCACCCGAGAAATGAAAGGCAAATATGCATTAAGCCACCACTGGTTGTTAATCCACGTTTTGCCGTGTGGCCGTTTTGAGTCGCATGGCCCTGTCGATTTCAGATGCATTGTATCCATTTGATAGAAAAGCCCGAATTGAGGTGATCCAGTTCTTGCTCGAGATGTTGTGGCTCGCAGATGTTCCAAGCACGTTCTGTTAACGTTGTTATAATTCTACGTTTTTGCCTTGAATGGTGGTTTGAGTGTGCATGCAGGTACCTGTGTGTGTATGTGGGTTTTTGATACACTGTGTGGCTTAGTTTTCCTCCAGATTTCTTTATGAGTACATCTAAGAAGGCGATTTCTTGGTTTCCCTCCTTTTCCATGGTAAATTGTATGCTAGGATGTTGCGCGTTCAGGTGGCCTAGGAACTGGTTAAGCACAAAGGTATCATCTACATATCGAAGTCATACCGCTGGTTTGTGGTCAAAAGATTCGATAGCTTTCCTCTCGAAATCCTTCATAAAGAAGTTGGCTATGACCGGGCTAAGCGGACTTCCCATACCGACCTACACCGTCCGTTTGCTCGTAGAAATCGCAATCAAGCATGGATAATGAGCTTATTCGGAGTAAAAAAGCCCAGAATCAAAAATACGAGAATTTCTGTAAGAAACAAATCCGAAATTCCCTAGCGCCTGACAAATCCAGACTGGTCATCAATCTCGCGGATCGAGTCCTTACTGAAGAGGAAACAGCCATCTTGGCGGTAATTTTGCAATCACTCCACAACACCTGCCAACGGAGGAAATTATAGCCAACACTGAAGCAGCTATTAGAGCACTACCTGATGTGGAAGCAGAAGAAATCCGTATTGAGACGGCTAACATTCTACGGAAGGCTCGACCACCAACCAGTAACCTCTCTAAGAAAGAACTAATGGCAATTAAGAACCTAAATTCAGCGGAAGATATGATCATCCTACCTGCGGATATCGGCAACGCAACTGTCCTGTTAAGAACTGAAAACTACAACCGGAAAATTCAGGAACTCCTTGTTCCATCTACCTACCGAAAGCTAAAGAAGGATCCCACCCAAGCCATACTCTGGAACACTAACAAACTTATTAGGTCATCTACCCTAACAGACACGGTTAAGAAAGGCATCATAAAAACGGAAGCGGTTCCACCACGACTCTACGGCCTACCCAAAATTCACAAACCTGAAGTCCCGCTAAGACCCATAGTGAGTGCACCTGGAGCACCAACGTACCTAGCGAAACATCTTGCATCGCTCCTTCAAGCACATATAGGAAATACTAGCTCTTACGTCAAGGACTCCATACTCACTTCATCCAGAAAATTAGGGATATTATTCTCCAACCTAAGGATATCCTGGTCAGCTTTAATATCGTGTCTCTATTCACAAAAGTGCCATTGACGGAATCTCTTGACTTGATATCAAGTACCTTCCCGAATGACATAGTTGAGCTTTTCCGGACATGCCTCACTGGTAGTTACTTCCTGTGGAACGGTGATTTCTACGAGCAAACGGACGGTGTAGCTATGGGAAGTCCGCTTAGCCCGGTCATAGCCAACTTCTTTATAGAGGATTTTGAGAGGAAAACTATCGAATCTTTTGACCACAAACCAACGGTATGGCTTCGATATGTAGATGATACCTTTGTGGTTTGGAGTCATGGGGAAGAGAAGCTCAACCAGTTCCTAGGCTACCTGAACGCGCAACATCCTAATTGTCCCCCTATCAACTCAAAATAATACACTTATATACAACATATTCCACGGATCCACTAAAACTCTTTAATAACAACAACGCGCGAGCTTTCCCATATTTCCTGAATATATCTTTTTACCCCATTTCCACAAATGGAATTTTCAATAGTAGTAGAAGAGATTTATCACTTTTTTCCTCAAATATAGTTCCAGTTTTATCACCAAACTTGATAAAATAAAAATAATGGTTTTCTACAGCTAAATCCGCTCTGTTATTAGAGGCTCTCGGATTAATATCTAAACATTACTATTTTTTTATCGCGATTTATAAGTTATTTGAAATTAAATAACAACCTGAAATTTTACATGCTTCATTTCAAAAACCATAAAATTGGTTCTAAGTCTAATTTCTTATTTTTTTCTAGGATTTCCTGAGACGTCGAGTAGGATTTGTGCCCTCGGATGGCAGTAGTGACGGTCTTTCCAAAGAAGAAGCGAAACAATCGAAATTGCATAGACGCGACACTCCCCATCATCTGAAGAATAAAAGAGTGACAACACCAATCGATAAGGATAAAGTTGCCAACATCATTGCACAGGTAAGTGAATGTATGCCTTTATTTATTTATTGTGACATTTTATTTCGTGAAACTGAAACGAGCGATTTTTGCGAAAAGTTCATTACAAAATAGGATTCGTTAATTGGGCTTAATGCACATTGTACGGTATTCATCTAATACTGAAATTATGTTTACCTGACTCATTGGAGTTCAATTTCATGCCGTATTGCGAGATTAGCGCTGGATACTGTTTTTGTAATAAAAGTTACATGTGAAATCTGTAATTTCTTTAATATCAGTGAAACGAGCATTTTTTTAAAAGCACCATTAGATGATTATGATCTGACCTATTTTACAGGATTCAGTTACATTGAAAGTGTATAAATAAATGATTGTCAAGGTTTGTTTGAAAAATCCTGAAAGGTGTCATAAAGAGCTGTCTAGGTATTTTTGCTCTTTCAGGCCATTATTTTCTAATTGACTTTGAATGATTTGAGTTCGAGCCGGATGTTAATTAAATAGAGATTAATTTATTAACTTACCATTCAAATAGTTAATTTTTGTAGGATATAAGTACCCACTTAAAGTCTCAATCCAATTTGAAATTATGTATGGATTTTTTGAGACCTCTTAAAAATTTACAGGTACCATTTTATTATCTAACTGAAGTATCTTTCATCTAAGAACTAATAATAGTTATTAGTTGCCTCCGGAATTCCATCTTGATAATCCTAAAACTAGATCTTCATTTCCTGTACGATTATTGAATATTTTTGGCTCGGCTTTGAGGAAGGTGTAATGACAGAGAATTAGTTACTGTAATTTATTGATAGGTGGTTTCGAGGTCGATTTTGTTTTTGCATCATACTTCTTTGGTAATGCAACAAAGTTTACTTTAAATTTTGTTTGATGTTCTAATGACTTCTGAGTATATTGTCCCCTTTATAAACTTGTCAATATTTTCCGGTAATATAAACTGTAAAGTGAAGTCATTGACCTTACACCTAATATAGAATCACAAATTCTGTGAAATTATCATAATTTCCGGGCTAGCAATTTATTTCCTATTACATACATATTTATATTCTTGAAAATTTTATCTGTTGGGTAATCGACAAAATAAACAAGTCCAGGTGTACCTTACTACCTTGTGATTTTTAAAAGCAGCTCAAGTTAACAAATCGTAATATATTAATACCTGTTACTTGTCAATATTCAGTTTATATAAATAATTTTTGGAAATTTATAAAAACATACAACAAATCCCTATTATGATTGCGAAAACTTTTCTATTGCCTACTTGCTAATTTTACATTCTAACATCTTATTTTACTGCAATTTCGCGCTATAAGCATTGCTTTACATCGCCAAGATTATCATCAGTGCTAATTTATGATACTACACTTTATAACAAAAGAGAACGGAAATTGTCAGGATTCAATTGAAGCGGAAAGCTTATTGAATTAGCCCGAAGTATTAACAAGATATTAAAATATTTTCAAACTGTTTGTTGAAAAATTTTATATAATTTTTTCTAAAGTTATCTACCATTAAATATGTCTCTGTCTCTGTCTCAAAAATCTTTAATTAGCAAAAACAGTGATTTATTTACGATCAATTAAAACTCATTCAATTTCCTAGGCTAATTAAAGCTTATCGAGCGTAACTATTCTTCCGTCAAACCGCTGCCCAAATATCCGGTAAATAATTTGCTTCAGAGCGATATAAATATGTTCGCCATTACCCACAAATGCACCTAAAAAAATCCAGTTGTGTGTCTTTGCAACGGCATTGACCCCTATCCGTGGGCATAAGAAGAATAATGACCTTAGCCAAACGAAATGTTGGTAAACACATGGGAATCAGCGCGGAAGATATGAGGTAATGGGTGTAAAAATAGAATGCTGACGTTATTATATTTTTGTCCTTTGAGGCCAATTTTCATTATTGTTAATTTTTACATTATTTTCTTCGAAAGTAACCATCGTAACCGATCTTTATTCTCTACAAAATTGTTTTGTAGCTGAACTTTAAAGGGGCTGAGTCATTGCCAAAAAAGTAAGTCATCTGTAAACTAACAACTGTCAGTAATAGGCCCAAATTATTTTATTATGTCTCAGATTAAGTTAATAGATCCCAGACTAATACATATTAAATCGTGGGCATTATCATAGCATTCATTTCATTAATTATGTACGGACAATATCTAATAGTGTTAACTACATTACAAAATCTGATAAAAGGTCAACAAAGACCAACTACATAATTTGATTTAGGAATTTAATAACATTAGTGTCCGGCCTTAATTGCTTCAATAAGGATTGTAACTTGCCTAAATTGAGTTCAACTAATTAATGCAGCCATTCATTATTATATTCTAATAGAGTTCAAAATTAACTGATTACGGGAGCTACTATTTTTAGTGGCTTTTTAGTAAATATTTATGTTATATATTTAACAATAGGTGTGCAAGATTGCCCTACTTTAAATAGGTATAAAGGTAAGAATGTACCTATATATTTGGTAAATAATATAGCTAGATCTGATTTATTTTTAAGATAAAAGTTTAGTTTGGGTAATCAAGATGTAAAGCCCAGTTTTTTTCCTGTGTATTTTGTTGATATTATAATCAGCCCAAAGTTGCAGTTGCCGAACTCAGATGTTTATGCCACTGTCTAAATAATATTGTTACGAACTCACATTGTTGCGTGGAAGCACGATTGAAAAAGTCGAAAGGAAAAATTTATTAAAAATCGATTAGTACACTTTTGGCTTTCAGTTCCATTCTCTCAGGAATGTTGGTTTTGATGCATTGTTGGCAGAAGAAAAATATTTTTAATTTTTTAGGTCCAAATCACTGTTAAATTACTATTCAGCACGAAAAAAGTTAATCGATGATCATGCATAGCTCGTTTTACATTAAAAATGTAATTCATTTTGTGCTATGTTATAAAACTGGTTATACTTTTACAGTTAGGCATTATATTTCGTGACATTAATTACAAAAAATAGAGCAGTGGAACTCTTTTATACAAAAATTTGGTTGAAGATTCTCTCATTAATGTCTCACGGTAAACATCTCATAAACCCATTATAATTACCTAAACATTCTTTAAATTTTAGCCTATAAAAAGTTCAGTTAAACTTCTCACTAATGCCTAACAGTAAAGTTCCTATAAACACAATATAATTACTTGAACATACACTGCGTTTAATAATTTTAACACTGCAACAAGCAATTTACTAGAGTTCGTTCTCATGAATGGGAACTTGGATTTATAGCGTCATTAACATTATCGTCTCTATTATCAAATCATTGGAATGAAACAATCCAGTAGTAAAAAAAATTAAACAATTTTTGTGATCTTATCAATCAATCATAATCAATCTTCTTATCTTCTAACTGTGGTTTGATCATTCGTGACTAACCTGTCCAACTTGATGGTACTGTTTAGGATAATTGAAGCGATGCATATAAAACCGTTACGTCCCAATTGTTGTCAACTGGAATTAAAGGATTTTTTTTAGAAAGTACCAATATTTAAAAAATACTGTCCGAGAATTAACAATTGTGCTGTGAGATTGAGGACGTTCTTTGTTAGGCAAAAATTTAGAATACAATGTCAACCCATCATGCTTCAATCTGAGATCCCTGATAGTAAAAAGTTTTAGTTTTGTTTGCCTAGAAAGTTCGACACGGTTGCATACCGAGTGTTCCCAATTTTCTGCGGTACATTTATCTCCGATCGATTTTATGATGGAAAAGTGATTATTTCAAAGCTCTTTTGCTTTAATTGTGAATGTTGCAGTTAGATAAAAGCTCGTTTTTTTTTGCAGGCAATAAAACGGAAAGAAGACCACTGTGAATCATCAGATCGGCTCAGCCTTTCCACCAATCCCGAATCAGTAGGAGACCGAAGTTCTGTCAGCAGTCAAGGTAAGGTAATTTTGTGTGTATATCGGACAGGGTGTTTCATCTTCTTTAAGGTGCTGATTTTGTGTCAAATTAACAATATCGTTTTTTTCCCTTTTATTAAAACCATTTAAAATCGCATTAAACAATAAGTGAAACCTGCATGATAGTTTCAGATTCCTTTCGTTTTCTACAGTGTAATAATCACTATCATAACTAGGTATTCGAAAATTGCATTTTTTTCGTGGGAAGTTTTATACATTACTGAAATAGGTATTCACAATAATAGATTTTCAAAAAAATAACTTTGTCAAGTATCATACATATAAGACATAAGCCTTTTGTGTTAGGTTCAAATGTATTTTTGTTGAAGTTTTTTGTTTTGGCAAAAAAAAAAACACAGCTATTTAGGTCCCTGTTTACTCCTATTTGAAACAGCTGGAATATAATGATGGTTATGTATTTCAGATTATTAGTTTTCCATGTGTTTGATAGAGAAAATTTCAAATTTCAAATTTCAAATTTCTTAATTTCAATTATTAACTCATTATTTGATATGAAACACGGACTTCGAGAAAGGTAAAATCAAATCTTTAGTACAATGAGAGTGACACTGAAAAAACGAGTGTGAATATTCACAAGCAGGGATTGATACTTTCGTATCTCTATCACATTTATCAGTTATTTTGAGAATCGCCAATATAAAAATACATAATAATGCCATACTTTCCATGGCCGAAATTCAATACGCACATTCACATACATCTCTCATTACCTGTTTCTGTTTTCAGTGTAACAGAAAACATAAAACCGATTTAGTGGTGAACCATGGCTATATGAAAACCAGACCATTAATAATAAAATGCGTTTGAACGCACAGCTTTTGAAGATAACGTTTTTTTTTTGGTTGTTAGTTATTTAAACGTGAACGTTTAAAACGTTTTTATGTTGCACGATACCGTTTAAGTACCTTGGGAAAAACAGTGCAAAGTGGAATAACAGTTAGGAAACTACCTCTTATATCGGACAAAATGTATAATTTCGAAGTTGCGATATGGGGTAACGCAGTTTTGATTGGGAAAATGAACTAGATGATTGGAGAGCAAAAATAAGATCATATAACATGGCACCGTTTTCAAAATTGCATGATAAAAGGTCGTTTATTGGAATTTGTCCTAATTGATTGAGAGGGGCTCTTAGTAGAGGATGTAATTTCCTAGAGTCCTGGTAAATGAATAATAGAATCATGGTATCAAACCTTCATTATTCCAACTATCGAACTATCAGCTTACTTATAACATCTTTGTGCCTATAGAAAAATGTATGCAATCTAAGATGCCTTCCTATCCACCCGGATCTATCTTTACGCCTTTGTGGTTCCTCTTTCCCTGGACTTGACTGATAGATAATATTGACCTGCTGGATCTTGAATCAGCTGTCTTCTTGTTTCTAGTTTTTCTTTTTCAGCTCACCGGATTTCTCTTTTTTTTCCAGTCTCTTGGCGATCTATTGCTGGCTTCCTCTATATTATCAGTATCTTCTAGTTGATCGGTTCTGTGATTCTGAACTCCATTCTTGATCCGTTTCAAATCGGAAGCTTCTAGCGAGAACCCTTTGACGCTGATCAAGTCTGAGGCAATGCATTGAACGGAGCATGGTCGACTGGATAATGCATATGCGTTGTTATGCAGTTTACCGTCAGAACCATGTTTGATTGGAAAATCGTACTGCTACAACTACTTCATTGAAGCAGTGGCAGCTCGTCGTATAAAGCAACTGAGGCCGGGCCTCACATGTAAAAATTACAATAATAAAGTAAAATTTTGAAATAATATTTATTAAATATTTAACGTTTTTCAACTATTTTCAATCATTAAAAGAATCAAAACATCGAATTTTCATTAAAATATAATACTATTTTTTGAATCTAGCGCGCGCTTCTACCTATTTATCCTTATAGGCACTCAAATCGTTGCCGGACAGCATTAAAATAAAATAGCAATCCCAAAAATTTTGGCCTCATGTGCGTCACAGAACGCCGAAGCGATGCCACGGCACTCCCCACCACAACGCTTCAACTGTAGGTGAGACGATAGCGAATTTCTATAGGCATTGAGGCGCACAATTTTGGGCTTGTTAATAAGAAACCTTGCATCGCTTGCTGCTGCGACAAGTATTTAATTGGTTAATTGGCTCATATTTTTTATTTTGGTCTGTTGCGGGTTAAAAAACTGTTTTTTGGAATTTATTTTGTTAATTTGAAAAACAATTTTTGTATTAAAATAAGAATTAGGTAGCTACTGCTGTTGTTTTGCAACTGTAAGAAATGAAAATTTTCATTAGAAATATACAAAAAAAAATATCCGAGATGTTCTTTTGATGAAATTTTGGGTCAAAATTTGGGCGTAACACTTGAAAATTTTGTTTGGGTTTGTTTGGGTTAACTTGATGGGCCATGGGCCTCACCAGTTTGCATTGTCACGAGCCGCCACTGCATTGAAGGCTGAGAGTCACCATAAGGAAAGCTAGATCAGCCGCACTCTACAGTCACGTTTGAAATGTCCTCTTCGTAGCGGCAACATTCGGTGTTTCCTTCCCGACACAGCTCTGATCTTTGGTTTCGATATCTTATAGGTCGTTTCAATTTCAGGAAGAAAATATTTATAGAGACGATCAAGTTATTTTGTATTGTTGATGATAGTTTTTAGGTCCACTCGTTAGCTTGCCTTATAAATAACATTTATTTACGACTAATGTATAATGTGCGTATTATATTTGTGATTTTGGCAGTATAATGACATATGTTATTCCTCCAGGGATTAATGCCGAGTAGCGGGATTAATGGTCATTATTCCACAAAAGTGTCAGTGTCAAACGTGTAGTGCTTGTGGATTTGTATTGAAAATTATGAGACGGATGAAATTTGTTCATTGAAAATCTCAAATAAATTAATTTGTCGTAAATAAAGTAGAGTATACTACTCGCAATAATGGCTATTATTCCCTCGGAATGTTACTCCCTCGCCGCTAACGCGGCTCAGTTCGTAATAATCCTCGGGAATAATAGCTATCATTATGGACTCGTGGTATAATCTACTATTAAAAGTGCTTGTCATCAATATTGCCTGCTATGATTGCACTGATTGCAGTGTCATCCATATAAAATATCATTTTGCGGAATTCTATTCACTTTTATGTCTATGGGTCGCTCGAAAACTGCTATGACGAAAGCTGTCTCCACATACATGTTGAACAACATCGGGTACAAAAGACATCTCTCCCTTAACATCTTTCCTTATTTGAAATTCCTCTGTTGTAGTTGAGTTAATCTGCAAGTGTATTTCAGCTGTTTGGTTCCACTACAAGTTGGCCATAAGTCCTGTATCCTTTTCGTCCTTACCCAAATCCTGAAGAATTGTTACTCATCGAGAGTTCGTAATCCGCCCCTGTCCAGATCGTTTCACGAGGGTTTACTTTTTACTTGACATTGAAGACGTCATAACTTGAAAAAAAAGGGTTGTCGTATTAATTCACATGACACATTCAATTTTAGCTGCTTTCGGAAATGTAAATCCTGGATCGAGTAGGTTAATATCAGCTGATTTCTGTTTAGCTCGTTTTCAGAGTAGATTATTCAACATTTCCGAACGATTGGGATCGACGATCGCCGCATGCCGGCACACGCGTTTGTTTTTCTTCAACGATTTGAGGTGAGGTTTTTACCTTAGACTTTTCAAAAACACTGCTTGTGTTGTTTTTGGAGTCTGCACTCTAATCTGTAATCCGTTTAATTCAAACACAAAACTTGACAAAACGCAAACGAAACATGTAAAATAAACATAACACATCATAACGAAAAAAATCAAACAGTTAATATTGTCTGGCTAGCCAAACGGCGAACTCCAAAAGAATTTGCTGCTTTGCCAAACTTGACGGAAACAATAATAAACAAGGGTGCCACTGAACTCAAAGACATGGCTGTCATCAGGCGATGTCAGTTGAGGTCACTTGAGGTGTCAGTGAATATTTTTAGGTCACGCCCCACTTTTCTTCCCCCTTTCGTCTCTACCAAGTTACCACTTGCCAGACTATACATTAATTTTCTACAGTTAATAGATTAATTTTCTACCCACGTCAAGAGCAGGGTTAATAAGATCACAAACATATGAGGAAACCGAATCTACAGGATCACTTACCGAACGCGAGTATACTCGACTTCGGATCATTTTACGAACGATGAGATTACTAATCCGATCGAACCGATTAATCGGATCAGACTTTCCAAAAGCGGCTTTTGTTGACTTCTGGTTTAAGAACCGACGAACGTTTTTGACGTCATTGATTTGTTTCAGTCGATTTCTATTGGTTAAAAAAGGAAGGCAAATTATGTCAAAAGTATAAACCCTTGTGAAACGTTTTTTTTTTACATAGAAGTTTCTGTCCATCATTTTAGGTATTCTTTCGATCAGACAAATTCAACAAACTGATAGTAATCACATAAGGTTTGTTTATGAGGCGTCAAAAAAAACAGTGAGAGCCAATGAAATCGTTATAAAACCTGATGACAATTGTTTGAAACAAACCTCAAGTGACTTCGATCAGTTTGTTCATAACGAAAGAATACGCTGATTATCAAAAGCCTTTTCTTCCATAGTTCTTTGGGATCTTTGTCACTAACTGTTGTAGTCACTCGAATCTAAATAACTTTTACTCTGTTGGGCCGTTTTTAATATCTTCATTATGTACAAAATAACTAATCGTGAAGGTACAAAATCTAGTTTTCCCTATATGTGAGAAACCATAATTATGCCGAAGTATTTGGAGTTAATTAGGTTTAAGTTAATAGGCTATTCCATGCATGAATAGCATATATCGAATATATATGTATACTCGCAACAAGTTGAGAAAACATAGAAGCGCCTTTGCGCAGATTGAGAAAATTAACTAACCCAAACTGAAAATGACTGCCTCTATTCTAAATCCGCTCTTAATAAAACCAAATTAGCTTAATCCTCTGTATTCTTC